GGCGACCATCAACGCTCCCTCAATTGACCCGCTGCTGCCAAGTCATGCAGTCGGGACACGCATGCAAACACATGCATATACACACATGCACACACACACACACACATGCATATACACGCATGCATACACACATGCACACACACACACACACATGCATATACACGCATGCATACACACATGCACACACACACACACATGCATATACACGCATGCATACACACGTGCAAACACACACACACACACGCATGCATAACACATGCACACACACACACACACATGCATATACACGCACATACACACATGCACACACACAACACACACACATGCATATACACGCATGCATACACACGTGCAAACACACACACACATGCATATACACGCATGCATACACACTGCACACACACACATGCATATACACGCATGCATACACACGTGCAAACACACACACACATGCATATACACGCATGCATACACACACATGCACACACACACACACATGCATTACACGCATGCATACACACATGCACACACACATGCACACACACACACAACACACACACCACACACACACACACACACACACACACACCACACACACACACACACACACAACACACACACACACTATACATACACGCACACACACACACTCACAACATACATACACACACACACACACACACACACACACACACACACACACACACACCACACACACACACACACACACACACACACACACACACACACACACACACATACACACACACACACACACACAAACGCACACACACATACATACACGCACACACACACAAACTTATATTACACAACACACACACATTAATATATATATTATATATATATATATATATATATATATATATATATATATATATATACATATATATAATCCGTTTCTACACATGTACGCGGTGTGTGCTGTCAGTTATCGTACCTTATCTACTGTCATCTTAAAGAGCGAGGCTGTTAACCCTGTAATAAATACGCTATTAAACATCATGACGAGGGGAACAGACATAAAAATGCACACGTAGAATAAGCTTATGTTACCAAACCTCCCTAATCCTCCCCGCTCTCCCGGTCGTAACTACCCGAACCGCCTTTCACACCATTGGCCCCCAAACGACTGCTTTTACGTGGTCCTCTCTCGCCACCCTCTGCCTCTCTACTCCCTGCCTCCCCCTCCCCCCCCTCTCGTTTGAGCACCTCCCCCACCCCACCCCACCCTTGAAATACCCTCCTCTAACCTCTGTGTCCTTATCCCCCTCCCCTCTGAAACTACCCTCTCCTCTCCCCTCTGCCCCCCACTGAAGCTTCCCTCCTCCCCACACTGTGTCCTTACCCCCCCCCCCCCCGCGAAACTACTCTCTCCTCCTCCCCCCCCTCCCTCCCCGAGCACTTGGCCCCCAACCTGATATCCCCTCCCTTCCCTTCTGAGCCCTTACCCCCTCCCCCTTCCCCTTGAGATACCCTCCCCACTCTCTAAGCTCATAGTCTTGCCCTGCACCCCCCCTTCCCCATCTGATGCCCCCCCCCCTCCCTCTAAGCCCATAGTCCCCCCGGATACCCCCTCCTCCCTGATACCTGCTCCTCTCCCCTCTAAGCCCTTACCCCACCCCCTGATTGCCCTCTCCCCTGCCTCTAAGGCCATAACCTCCCCTGGTACCCCCCCCCTTTTCCCTCCCCTCTACGTCCTTACCCCTCCCCAACCACTAAGCCCAACCCCCACCCTGATATCCCCCTCCCTCCCCCTCCACGCCTTTTACCCCCCCCCCCTCTTAAGCCCAACCCCTCCCTCCTCCCCACCCTCTAAGCCCAACCCCACCCTAAATACCCCCTCCTTCCCTCCCTCTCCACGGTCTTTTCCCCTCCACACCCTCTAAGCCCAACCCCCTCCCACCCTCTAGCCAACCCCCACCCTAATACCCCCTACCTCCTTTTCCCTCTACGCCCTTGCCTCCTCCCACCCTCTAAGCCCAATCCCCACCCTAACATCCCTTCCCTCCTCCCCTATACGCCCCTTACCCCTCCCCACCCTGATAACCCCCACCCTGATATCCCCTCCCCCTCCCCCCCCTCTACGCCTTAACCTCCCCCCTCTAAGCCCAACCCCTCCTCCCTCCCCACCCTCTAAGCCCAACCCCCACCTAATACCTCCTCCTTCCCTCCCTCTCCACGGTCTTTTCCCCTCCACACCCTCTTAAGCCCAACCCCACCCTCTCTCCCGCTCTACGCCTTTACCCCTCCCCACCCTCTAGGCCCAACCCCCACCTCCCTCCCCCTCCACGGCCTTTCCACCTCCCCACCCTCTAAGCCCCCCCCTAACACCCCTCCCTCCCTCCCCCTCTACGCCCTTACCCCTCCCCACCCTCTAAGCCAACTACCACCCTAACATCCCTTCTCCCTCCCCCTCCACGATTTCTCCTTCCCCTTTCCCCTCCTCCACGCCTTCCCCCCTCCCCCCTAAGCCTAACCCCCACCCTCCCCCTCCACCATCTTCCCCCCTCCCCCCCACGATCTTTCCCCCTCCCACTCCACGGCCTTTCCCCTCCCCCTCCACACCTCCCCCCTCCCCCTCTTCGCCCTTACCCCTTCCCACCTTTCACAGCCCAACCCCACCCTCCCCTCCACGGCCTTCCCCTCCCCCTCTACGCCTTTCCCTCTTCCCACCCTCTAAGCCCAACCCCCACCCTCCCCCTCCACGGCCTTTCCCCTCCCCCTCCACTCCCCCCCCCCCCCGCCCTCCCCCCTCAAAACCACCTATCTGCAAGAGAGGGGTTAGCGAGTAGCTCCGGCTCAGTTTTATAGTCGCAAGAGTTTCGCGGGAGGCTTAATGCTAGATCCTTTCGCTCATAAACATGTCACCTAAACATCTGTTAGGGTTAATTAGTACCACACAAGTGTCACTATAAACCCGGGAATATGAGATACCTACAAGAACTTGAATTACTGTGTTAAAAACGATGACCTTCGGGACAGGCGCCTGCTAGAAAGTGGGGATCGAGAGAGAGGGAGGAGAGAGGGAGAGGGAGAGGGAGAGAGGGGGGAGGGGAGAGAGAGGAGGGAGAGGAGAGAGGAGAGGGAGGGAGGAGAGGGAGAGGAGAGGGAGAGAGGAGCGGGAGGAGAGGAGAGAGCTAGGAGAGGGAGAGAGGAGGAGGAGGAGAGAGAGAGAGAGAGGGAGAGAGAGAGAGAGAGAGAGAGAGAGAGAGAGAGAGAGAGAGGGGAGAGAGAGGGGAAGAGAGAGAGGAGAGAAGAGGAGAGAAGAGAGAGAGAGAGAGAGAGAGAGAGAGAGAGAGGAGAGAGAGAGAGAGAGAGAGAGAGAGAGAGAGAGAGAGAGAGAGAGAGAGACAGAGAGAGAGGAGATAGATAGCATATAGAAACATATAGATAGATCGATAGACAGAAGAGAGTGGAACAAAGATTGTCTATTCATCACAATTTTAAGATTCCTTTACGTGGGTTATTTGTACAAACCAGCTTTCTCTATCCTTGTAAAAATAAACATGTCACAACAATGACTATCCATTATAAGAAATGGAATTAAACTAAATCATTACAATTTATCATTGGATTCGATCCTAATTTTCGATTTCCTGTGACTTCTTATCTCTCTCTCTCTCTCTCTCTCTCTCTCTCTCTCTCTCTCTCTCTCTCTCTCTCTCTCTCTCTCTCTCTCTCTCTCTGCTCTCTCTCTCTCTCTCTCTCTCTCTCGCTCTCTCCTCTCTCTCTCTCTCTCTCTCTCTCTCT